TCCGGATAGGGAACTGGCCGTCCGGATAGGGAACTGGCCGTCCGGATACAGGATTGGCTGTCCAATAGAAGACAGAGGATGGCAGTAGACAGAAACTATTCAGCCTGTAGCTTGGTGCCCAGTGGTGTTCCGCACGGATCTGTTCTGGGGCCTCTGCTCTTTGTGATCTTTATAAATGACTTGGATGAGCAAGTAGAAGGGTGGGTTAGTAAGTTTGCCGATGACACGAAGGTTGGAGGAGTTGTGGACAGCGTGGAGGGCTGTTGTAGATTGCAATGGGACATTGACAGGATGCAGAGCTGGGCAAAGAAGTGGCAGATGGAATTCAACCCAGAAAAGTGTGAAGTGATTCATTTTGGAAGGTCAAATTTGAATGCAGAATACAGGGTTAATGGCAGGAGTAATGGCATATGGTGTGTTGGCTTTCATTGGCAGGGGAATTGAGTTTAAGAGCTGCGAGGTTATGCTGCAGCTCTATAAAACCCTGGTTAGACCACACTTGGAATATTGTGTGTAGTTCTAGTCGCCTCATTATCGGAAGAATGTGGAAGCTTTAGAGAGGTGCAGAGGAGATTTACCAGAATGCTGCCTGGAATGGAGGGCAGGTTTTAAGAGGAAAGGTTGAGAGAGCTAGGGTTTTTCTCATTGGAGCGAAGAAGAATGAGAGGTGACTTGATAGAGGTGTACAAGATGATGGGAGGCATAAATAGAGTGGATAGTCAGAGACTTTTTCCCAGAGCAGAAATGACTATTACTAGGGGGTATAATTTTAAGGTGATTGGAGGAAGGTATAGAGGATATGTCAGAGGTAGGTTCTTTACACAAAGAGTGGTGGGTGCATGGAATGCACTGCCAGCGGTAGCAGTAGAGTCAGATACATTAGGGACATTTAAACGACTCTTGGATAGGCACATGAATGATAGAAAAATGAAGGGTATGCAGGTTAGTTTGATCTCAGAGTAGGATAATAGGTCGGCACAACATGGTGGGCTAAAGGGCCTGTACTGTGCTGTATTGTTCTGTGTTCTATGTTTGTTGCATGCAGAGTGCAGATGCTCTCTGAAACAGTCTCCGAGTCTATGCTTGGTCTCACTGATGTAGTGGAGGCCACATCGGGAGCAGCAGATACAGTAGACCAAGTTGACGGATGTTTTTCTTCTTTTTGCTATACCTGCCCCTACACCTCCCCCCTCACCTCCATTCAAGGCCCAAAACAAACTTTTCATATCAGATAGGGGTTCACCTAAACATCCGTCAATTTGGTCTCCTCTATTGCTGCTCCCAATATGGCCTCCTCTCCAACAGTGAGACCAAGCGTAGACTTGGAGACCGTTTTGTAGAGCATCTGCGCTCTGTATGCGACAAACGACAACACCTTCTGGTCACCAACCATTTCAACTTCCCCTCCCACTCCCTGGGTGATACGTCCATCCTGGGCTTCCTCCAGTGTCACAACGGCACGACCCACAAACTCGAAGAACAACACACCTCATATTCTGCCTTGGGAGCCTACAGCCTGATGGCCTAAACATGGAATTCACCAGTTTTAAAATCTCCCCAACCCTGGCCTCATCCATGTCCAACTCTCCCTCTCATCCCCGCCTCCTTGAACTGACACAACCTGTCCATCTTCTCTCCCACCTATCCACCCCACCCATCCCACTGACCAATCCTCACCTCTCCCTACCTGCACTCACCTATCACCATCCCATCTACCTGCCCCAGTTCCACCCCTCCTCTCTCTATCTATCTCCCAGCTTTCTTCCCACTCCCCATTCTAAAGAAGGGCCCGACCCGAAATGTCAACTTTCTTGCTCCTCTGATGTTGCCTGGTCTGCTGTGTTCTTCCAGCTCCACACTATGTTGTCTCTGACTCCAGCATCTGCAGTTCTTGCTAACTCTCACTGTTATACTTGCATTAAGTTTATATTAAACTGAATGAACAAAAGCATAAGATATTGTATTATGTGACTGCAATTGCCAATGCAACTACAGTAAGAAAATATTTTTTTATTACCCAAGCACCACAGCCCCTACCCTCAATGAAAAATCATGTTAAAACATCATTTTGCTTAGTTTAGATTTTTAAAAAAACTTTGATGACATTTTATCTTCTGGATAAGGCAGAAATTCTAATTTAACTATAAAATATGTAGATCTTAAAGGGATTTTTAATGTATCGTGAAAAGAATTATTAAATTTTTAATTGCAATAAGAAATGCAAATCATTGAACAGTTTGTGTCCGTTTCTGAACAAGCACTTTGTAACTTGGGTTTTGCATCAACTTTGTTGTATACGCAGCACCCATAGCCTATGTTTAGAATATCATTAACTGCACTACTGAGTAAAATTAAATACATTAAACCACTCACAGTCACCTCAAACTGAGAGAATTTCTCAAATGAGGCAGAGAAGTGAGGCATTGCTTAGGTGAGTGGAGCACCGCAGTGCATTTAGCTCTCAGGAGCACACTGTGTCTCAAACATTTGAGCAACAGATGAAGCTAATCATTTTACACTGCTTCTGACCACTAGATATGGGGATAAGGTAGGAGTTTGGCACTTGATAATAAAGCTGGACTGGATAACTGAATTGGCGTAGACATGATGGGCTGAATGGCCTTCTTCTGCAACATAATAATTGTGATTCTGATACATCGTTAATTCCAAAAATTTGTTCATTCACTTTTAGTATTGCCATCTTCTTTTGCATGTGTCATCAAGTCTTTTCCATTTAATCTACTTTGCCCTTCATCCTATCAAAGATTTTCAATTTTGTTCTTCCCACCCTTCTGTCTCTGTACATGTTACGACCTATTACATCTCTAACATTTTATAAAATATAGAGGAAGTTATCACTGAAACATTAAGTCTATCCCATCTTATGTTCTTTGTTCATATGTCATTAAAGCAAGCACGTATGCATAATCAACAAGGAAGGCAAATGGTATGATGGCCTTCAAAGAGCTTTGCATATTAACATAAAGATGGCTTGCTGCAATTATATAGCCTTGGTGAGGCCACATTTGGATTGCTGTGGACATTTTTGGGTCTTGTCTCGGGAACGACATTACTCAGCACGGACTGGAGCAGGCCCAGAAGCACGGGCTTGTGGTGGTGGTGGAAGCAGGTTTGAGTTCTCAGCGGCTTCTGCATTGTTGAGGCGGTCCTAGCGCCAACTCATGGCTGCTGCTGCAGGGGTGAGTTTGAGTATCCAGTGATGTCTGCTGCCAGCATAGATTCATGGAGGAATTGGTGGAAGCAGGTTTGGGTCAGTACGAGACCCGGTGGCATCACCAGCAGCTGCATCAGCGAGGTGGGCCCACAGCAGATACATTGCGGCGGCAGAGTTGAGTTCAGGCTGGGTTGACACGCAGCAGCGAGGGTGCTATCTAAATTGGTGAGGTCCAGCAAGAACTCAGTGATGAGAGCATTGGTGGAGGCCAGATGGTGCCGAACAGTGATTTTTGTGACTTTTGTTGCAGTGGCGATGCTTCAGCAAAAGGGATTTGGCCATAAGGCCCATGGTCCATGATGCAGCACTCAACAAGAAGCGCTGCAAAGTTGGATATTTCTTTATTTCTTCATTTTTCTGCCTTTATATTCTATGATTTGGTGTATTTGTCTGTGTTTTAAGATGACATTGGAGACTGATGACACCACACATTTTTCACTGTAGTTTGCAACAAGATACACATGACAATAAATAACTCAAATAAGCACTGGAGTTCACGAGACTAACTCCAGGAGGACAGTCTTAATGAGGAGAAATTGAGGAAACTGGGCCTGTATTCCGTTAAGCTTCGAAGAATGGGAGGTGATTTAAATTAAATTTACAAGAGTGTTACAGAGTATGACAGAGTGTATTGAGATAGGTTGTTTCCTCTGGCTAGTGGCTTGAGAACCAGAAGACATAATCTCAGGATAAGGGGAGGCCATTTAAGACTGTGACGGAGAGGAACTTCTTCACAGGGAGGATAATGATTTGTCTACTCCAGAGGGCTGTGGAAGCTCAATCATTGAACATGTTCAAGTCAGAAATTGCTAGATTTCTGGTGACAAGTGCCATCAATGGGTATGCAAATAGCACAGCAAGTGGTGTTGACATACATGATCAAAGCCATGATCTAACTGAACTATGGTGCAGGCTCAACCGGCTAAATGGTCTGCTCCTGTGCTTATGTTCCTAGCCTGCAGTTATTTTCAGAGTTTTGTTTTATTTCAGATTTCCTGCAACTGAAGTATTTCCCGTCCATAAATGAAGCTTCATAGAAACATACAAAATACAGTATCCCATTCCCACTTTCTCTCCATACCCTTTGGTCCCTTTAGCTGCAAGGGCCATGTCCAGCTCCTCTTGAATAGATCTAATGAGCTGACCCCAACTGCTTTCTGTGGGGGAGAATTTCACAGGCTCACAACTGTCAGTGAAGAAATTCTTCCTCATCTCAGTCCTGAATGGCTTACCCCTTATTCTTAGACTGTGTTTATCCTTTATTCTCAGATTTCACTTTCAGCATTAGAATTTCAGCAACATAACCTTTAGAAATGTAGTAAGATTAAACTGAAATCAAATCAGAAAATATCTAACTCTACCTTGGAGGAACCACTTTAAAGCACTGTCACTGGCATATGGATACAGATAGAAAAGCTTGAACAGGAATTGTTATCAGTTAGAAGGGGGATATTTGACTATTAGGGATGAAAACACTTCAGACTAGTAATCAGCTGAATATCATGGTGATTCGGAAGATATAAAATGTAGACAAATGTACGTGGTAACCGTTTTACAAATATTAATGTAAAAGGAACATTATCAATCATAGTACCATTGCATATCACTTACACGATGCACTGCAAATAACTCACCAGGGCTGTCTCAACAGCACATTCCCAATCTACAACCTTTACCATATGAAAGGTCAAGGGCAGCAGATACACAGAAACAGCACCACCTGTAAATTCCCCTCCAAGCCACACACCATCCTGAATTGGAACAATATCACTGTTCCTGCACTGTTGTTGTGTCAAGATCCTGTTACTCCTTTCTTAACAGCACTGTGGGTGTCCCTACATCCCAAGGACATCAGCAGTTCAAGATCACCACTTTGCAATTCCAAGAGGGAAATGGAGACTAAACTAGCCAGCAATGCTCCCATCCCATGATCAAATATTAAGAAATCATTGTGATTTTTAGATTGAGACTGACAATATATCCTGTTATGGTAAAACAAACTTGTCTCAGCATGCAAAGCAGCAAAAGAAATTATTAAAGATGATAACATAATCAAATGACATCATATAATTTAGGACAAACATTTTCTTGTCACGCAAAGACAATGGTTTACATATGAAGGTATCAGTCGCAAAACATCTTTGGCCAGAAATGTTCATCAGCATTTCTGAGCATTAAATGTTCAGTTAAAAAACAGTTAGATCACAGCACAACAATTATTCAAGTACACTGCTGATGATTTCCAGAGATACTAAGTCCAAAGGCTAGAAATAACTAGCAGTGCACTGTTTGAAACATGTAGACATGAACCTGCACAAAACTGATGGGAAACTAAGCTCTTAATGGCTGGCCAAATCACAGTTGCATGAGCAATGGAAGGGGAAGTGGATGGAAGTGCTGAGCGCTCATCAGAAATACAGTGGAGAAAGAAAATAAGATCAACAAAGTCATGCAAAGCTGAAAGGAAACTACTCATCAGTTTTTCTCATTTTAAAATAGAATCTTTCCATATCAATTTCAGAGATGTAATTTAAAAAAAAAATTTTAACTTTGTATGTACATCACCATGGATACATTTAAACACAGGCAAAATACCTGAACTTAACGTGTAAATAAAGAAGCAACGAGGAAAGGTAAATTGTGTTATGGGCAAATTTCTGTCCAATGATATCACTTTTAAATCTAAAACAGTTTTTGGGAAGTTGTAAGCTACTCCTCTGACTGTGTTTTTCAATTGGTTTCAAGTACCTGCATATATTTAAAGCGACAGATTCTCTGCATCTTTAATATTGCATCAACTTCACTTTCCACCATTCAGTACTAGAACTTTTTGGCCCACCGTAATCACATATTTTCTGCCATTAAAAACAGCACCAGCAATTGGCAAGGTGCCCAATCAACAAATGGATTAACATAAATATCAATACTCCAAACGCGTACTTCATTGGAAATTCTCAACTAGAAAGCAAATACCAACAAAATAATTAAATAAAAAGTCACAGCTTATTTACGTAACCTTGCAAATTATTGTGTACTTTTGTTTATTGGAATTTTCCACTTACTTACCAGAATTTAATATCATTAAGTTAGGAAATTACTGGCTGGCATATTACTGGGACTTGAAGAAATGACAAAGTATCTCAATTACATTTTCAACAATTAATGTTTTGTACTGCACTGTACTCCTCAGCTTTGTCTTTTTTAAGGTTGGCAACCCTAAAGTTGGAACCAAAAACTTGAAAAAAAGAGACTGAAGTCATAAAATAAAAATTATTAAACAGTAATGAATCCTTCTAAATTGTGCATTTAAGTTTCACTGGTGCACAGATTTTTTTTGAAATTCATAAGTGGAAACCACTGAACTTCCTGCGTACGAACTGATGCTGATAACCATTTAATGCAAACTACATAACCTAAGCTTACCATCAGGCTGAGATTTAAAAATATATCTCTAAGAGACAAAATCAAAAACAGCTGGAATAATTATATTCTCACTAAGTCATTTCTTTTTCCTGGTAAGTTTATCCATAACAGCACAGGCTGAAGTCACAATATTGTGCACTTCATGTCAAATGAAATTGAGTATCTTTAATCAAGGTGAACAATCAAGCAACTTTTGCATAAACCGGACATTAAAATCAATAATGCAACTATTAATGGCGAGACTTAAGCTCAGATCCATTCTTAAGATATGTTTTTCAGTTGTGAAGTAGTAATATTAGACTTGAAACTTTAATGTAACTTCTCTCCCCACAAATGCTGTCAGGCCTGCTGAATTTCTTGAACACTTTGTTTTTATTTCTGGTCTCCAAAATGCACATTGCCTTTATCTGTTTAGATAATGTATTCTGAGTTCAATTACTACTTCTGATTAATTAATTTGGATAGCTTCTTGTGGGGCATACTCCTACTTATACAAACATATAAAATTGGAGCAGAAATAGGCCTTTTAGCCCTTGAAGCCTGTTCCACTATTCCATTAGATCATGGTTGATGTGTTTGTTTCTCAAATTCCAGATTCCCATTTATCCCCAATAACTCTTGATTCCCTTGAACAAGAATCTAACCATTTATTTCTTAAAAATATTCAATGATCTTTTATCCACTGCCTTCTGAGGCAGAGTGTTCTAAAGTGACACAATCTTCAAAATGAAATTCTTACCACCTCTGTCATTAAAGTGGCCTTGGATAGTGAAGAGAAAGTAAACATTCTCCATTCCATTTTCCCATTTTCTCCATCTACATCACATCTGTTCTGACGATGCCATCTTCCACATGAGTAAAGCAGAATATTTCCGAGGCCCCCAACAGAGCATTACCCAGCACAATGGTGGATAGAGGCCTCAGTCATGTCTAACAAGTTTCCCAATGTCTTCCCTCACCTCTTCTCTTTCCTCCCACAATACCAATAGGATCCCTCTGACCCTCACTTTCCACTCCACCAGCATATGCATTCAAAGTATCATAACCCACCATTTCCACCACCTCCTGTGGAATTCCATCATAAAGATACATATTTCCCTCCCCTCCCCTGTCAGTATTCCACAGGGACCTCCTGGTCCACTCCTTCTCCACTTTCAGCACATCCCCAAGACACCCTCCGATGTAACCGCAGATGGTGTAAACCTGCCATTTACTTCCACCCGCTTCACTATCCAAGGCTCCAGACACACTTTCCGCGTTAAGCAGTGATACGCCTGCACTTCATTCAATCTGGTTTAAGTATTTGCTGCTCACAACGTGGTGTCTACACTGGGGAGATGAAACGCAGGCTAGGCGACCACTTTATGGAACACCTAGGTTCGGCCTACAAAAATGACCGAGCTTCCAGCTGTCTGCCACTTCAAAACACCCTGTGTTCCTTAGCCAACATTTTTATCTCAGAGACAGAAAGGACTGCAGATACCGGAAGCTAGAGTCAATAAATGTGGAACTGGAAAAGCACAGCAGGTCAAACAGCATCCGAGGAGGAGGAAAGTCAACATTTCGGGCCAAAACCGTTCGTTCAGGACTGGAGTTCTCAGGCCTGCGACAGTGCTCCAGTGAATCTCAGAGCAAGCTGGAAGAACAGTATTTTATTATCTGTTTGGGAACCCGGCAGCCTTCAGGCCTCAACATAGAGTTCAATAATTTTAGGGCCTGAACTTCTTTTACCATGTCTTTTACCCAATCCCACACACCTAGACCGGATCGTGACATGGGCTGGAGTTGGAATTCTTGAAATTGGATAAGTCATCAGGGCCATATGGATTGGTCCCTGCGATGTTGAAGGTGGGCAGAAAGGAAGTGGCAGATGCTCTGAGGATTATTTTCCAATTTTCACGAAACACACGTGAAGTCGCTTCACTTGACGAAGGAGCAGCGCTTCGAAAGCTTGTGATTTTAGATAAACCTGCTGGACCAGAACCTGGTGTCATATGTCTTCTCACTTTCTTAAG